AATCATAAATAATATAAAAATTATTTTTAATATTTTAAATAATATAATTTATATTACATTATTAACTTTAAATTTCAATTTTAAATTTTATTTCTATTTATCATTATTCTAAAATTAATGGTGGAGAAAACATAGCTTATTCTTGCGCTTTGCGCCCAGGGTAGTACGAGTACCACCACCCTTTCTCCTTAGCAGGAGCATGTACTTAGTTCCGGTATAATTGTGGGCTCTGGTGCCATTTTCTTACACGCCTGGGCATGGTTCTCCTCCTCCCAGAAAAAGGCCGCCGGCATTTTCTTACATTTATTTATGTTTTTTTACTGTTGAACAAAACAAAACTACAGTAGAATTTTGATACCCCAGGTGAAGTACTTTCCAGCTCTAGAGAAAGGTCCAATTTATCTCATAGCCTCTTGAAAAAGGAATGGGCTAGAGACCCAACCAACAAGTTACAAAAGACTCTCAAGTTTTAGCTGTGGGTCATTGGCATTGAGCCAAGCCCAGGGAAACCAATGGCGGCCAGCCCGCCCTTCATCTCTTGACGTTCCCTTGGAAACTTCATCTTTCTGGACTTTCACCCTATTAAAAAACATGGGCCTCGACACAACATGAGCATTCATCCTAACAACAATTGATTTTAGCTTAGATGACAATGCTATGTTGAGACCTACATATATTTTTATCATGGTATCACAGGATGTTACTGAGTTTACCATGTGTCAATCCATGGGATAAGTAGCAAAGATCATATTGGGCGTGGAATAGGACTCGAAAGTCATATAGGGTTTACAATTACAATTGAGAGAGATGCTAATTAAGTCCGAGTGACAGGTCTGAAAATGGAAAAATCTCACATTGATTAAAAAAAAATAGAAATATATATAATTTAAATATAAAAAGAGTTTCTCCAATGGTTATCATTGATTTTAAATTGAATGTCTATATCGTTTTTTTTTTCTTTGCCAACTATGTGTATATATATAATAAGGACTCATATTGTGTCATGATTTATGTTTCCTAACTAATATTATACACTATTATTGTTATTTTGATGAATAGAGAACTGCATTAATTAATAATAACATGGTATTATTTAGTTATTATAAATATAAGTAAAAATTTATTTACACAAAAATTTTATACATTAAATTTATATAAAATATTAATAATTTATCTTTTTATTTTCAATAATTGAAATTTATTTATTTTTTTATCATATTTATTAAAAATAATTATTTTTATTTAAAAAAATAATAAATCTTAATTATTAAAAATAAATAATAAATAATTAAAATTTTATATAAATATAACATATAAAATTTATATATAAATAAATTTATATTTTATAAATATATATGGTAATAATTAACTTTTTTTTTCATGAACATATGCAATAAGTAATTGTACTTTATTTTTTTTTTTTTTGGTTTTTCGCCCGGTATCCGGGGTTTCGCCCAGACTAATATGGATCCGACTTGCGTCGCGCACTTAAGAATGGTGGGTGAGTCTTTCAACGAGAACTGCTGCATATTCAAAGTCTCGAACTCGAGAACTTACTTAAACTTGAATAAATCGCTTACCACTTGATCCAACCCTTGTTGATAGTAATTGTACTTTATATTCTCAAAGATGCCCAACTACCATCTCCCTTGTGACCTTGTCCGGTTGTCCCTTACCTACCCCATACGTGCTGGTGAGTTAATTAGGTGTTATAAATTTTAATTAAAAATTGTAACCGATTATTCAATTACAGTGGGTTAAAAATCCATTATTTTCAAAATCAATTCCAGTCCGTTATGAATCCATTTTTTTCAAAAAATCGAGCTTGTGTCAGTTACAAATTCATGCCTTCCTGCTTTAAGAATGGATTTGTGCGTTTCTTTTCAAAAGGAAAAAATCAAATTCAAATATTTTAACATTATAACCTGCTGTTTTATTTTTTTTAACCGGTGATATGCATGAGTTACTTATCAACTTTTTCAATCTTGTAACCGGCAAGATTTATTTTAAATTCGTAATACTCTCACAGTTTATTTTTTGATTACATTGTAAAAGCCTATAAATAGGCAGCCTCCACTTCTATCGAAAGGTTGATATAATTTTTTATAATCTGTACTTTTATTTCATAAATATAATATACAAACTCTTTTTGAACAAGCAAAAGGTAGTGAGGTAGAACTTTCTTTACAAGAGTGCAATACTTGTAAAGATATATAAAGAAAAGGTTGTGCTATTATATCAAAGGGCGGCGTGATTATAAAAGGTTGATGCACCAATGACACGAAACATCTTAAAAAAAATGATAGATTCACGCTTCAGTTCAAAATTCCCATACTTTTGATAATATCTTTTTATTTTTTATTTTCATATTTAATTAATTGTTTTTTTTTTGTTAATCTTTTATCTATTTTTTCTTTTTATTTATTTTACGAGGAACAACATTAGGTGGGGGATTCACAACACTTGAACGGATCTACAGTTTGTTCCCTCTGTATGAAAGTGGTTATTACAATCAATCAAGTTGTTTCTCTGGCAAATGTACCTGCATAATTTCAAACTATTTTAGTTCAGCTCAACATCAACTTCAAATTAAAATTCATCTCCAGGTCCTCAAATTAAGTTTTAACATTTTTTGTTTCATTATAGAAATTGTGAAACGACATAATGTTTAAGTATTAAAAATATTAAGATATTTAATTATAGTTACAATATAAAAGAAATATAATTTAGGTCCTTCTTAAATCTAATTTATAATATGGTTAAAATTAAACATTTTAATATTAAAATATTTTTATTTTTATATTTTACTATATTCACTATAAAATATAATGATATATACTCTTTATCTTTGTTGCACAAAAGAATTTCATACTCCAACGCAATTAAACTAAAAAAAAAAAGAAAATAGGCTAAGCGAACATTATAGTGTAGTTTGTTTTGTGTAAATAATAATATTTTTAATTATTGATAAAAAAAGTAAACTTTTAATATTAAAAAACTCACTTCTTCAATTAATAATTAATTAAGATGCCATCTGCACATGGTAAATTATACTTTATTTTTCTTATAACTTAATTGACTTGGTTATAACTTTATTTGATATATATTCAAATATATTTAGATGTATCACTTGAATAGAATTTTTAGAGTTTATGCTATATCAAGAATTTATAAGCAAAGGCTTAAAAGCTAGTAGAAGTCCCGAACTAGTGCCTTCTCCAAGAGCAGAAGATTGAGGGTTGGGGGGGTGGGGTAAAACCTTAAAATGTCACGGTCGAATTAAATGGTCAAGGTGAGCTGCCTAACTACCTAATTCTTTTTAATGATTTGATATCTTATGGGGTCGATATTTTAAAATTTTGACAATTCATAGAATAAATGGTCAAGATTGAATCTAATCTAATCAATCCCAAATTCAGTTGACAAACAATATAATGTCGGTCCACCATTTCCTCCCCACAAAACTACACACATCTAACCAAAGTAGTGCATGAGTAAGTGAAGTAGGAAACACAAAGAGTGCAATAAACCAATAGCGCAGGCGTGACCCAGATCTGTCGGTGTGCTGAAATTCATCTGCTCACCGACACACCGTCACAAATCCCGTCGGTAGTCACTAAATGACATAAACCATCCACTTTGCATTAAGTTCACCTCTCACTATAATCTTGATTAACGAGATGCATTGAATTAAGAATTTAAAAACTCAAATTTGTCAATGAAATAATTTTTTTTTTGTTGAAAGTAAAAAATTTAAAAGTAAAAAATTTTAAATTTGAGTCACATTATATGCAAATGAGATGAGATAAGAAATAAAAAATAAAAAAATAATTACCTTTTATTGTACAATTAAAAAAAGAATCAAATTCAGATTCATCTAATTATATTATTAAGTAGAAGTCATGTTTAAGTTTTCCTTAAACTTAAAAATGATAGAGTTTGAATTCGAGTTCAACTAGTTCACATATGTCTAACCAAAATTGTTGATCGGCATGCAATACCATATTGAAGTAAATTGAATACCATATGCTATAACCAACATCATAAAAATGAAAATTGACATGGCTTGAATGGAGAGACCCTTGAAATTCTCAGCCAAGTTCATTCATGACCTTTTTTTTTTGGTTACAAATTAAAGTGGCTGAGATTATGGAAATTATGGTATTTGGACCAGCTGAATTTATAATAATGATAAAAAAAAAAGAATTAGTTTTTCTTGCCCTCTTCACCACCTTCTTCTATGTAAGCCTTCTTTCTCCTTTCAGCTTGGTTGCATAGACAAATCAGAAGGAAACACGTGGCGTATATTCCGTGGACCTTCCAGTTGGTCTTGGGCGGTTGGCGCAAGACCACCCTATGAAACACCGCCACGTAGTAATGCAGTCCAACAGCAAAGGCCACAAACGTCTGGCCCAGGCCCAGAAACTTCGAGCCCAATCCACAGTCCGTCGAGAACACCAGGATCAGGTACATCAGTAGCAGCAATAGGTACAGCACGTACCCCAGTGTCTGGAGCACCTGTAACCAGATGTACGTCGACGGTGCCGTGGCGTAGAAGAACTTCAGAGGCTCGAGCCCCGTGAGGAGGGAGGACAGACAGAGGATGGAGAAGTAAATGGAGAGATATACTTGGATGGATATCAAGAGTTTCTGGAGAGAGAAGTATGCTTTGATGCGGTTGACGATGAGGGAAACCAGGATTAAAGGGATCAGAATGAATGCGCAGGAGACGACGGTGGCAATGGTAGGTGCGTGCTTGTTGCCGACGATGGGTTTGAATTGTTTTGTAATTTCTTTGTTGTATTTAGTAATGTAGGCTTTTGATGTGTGGGAGATTCTCTCAATGTCTGGGATGAGGTTTTTCTGGAACTTGATGGGGAAATCTCTGAATTCGGATACCAAATCATCCCCCTCGTCCTGCTCAATCCAGCCGGGTTGTTGTTGGTTTTGTTTCTGCTTCTGGGTCTTTTCCTGCTTGGGTTTTTTCTCTGTGGTTTGATCCTTTTTGGGTTTCGAAGATTCAGGGTCAATCTGTTTCTGGGTTTGGGTTTGTTTTGTGGAAGTGGCTTTGGTGGTTTTGTTTTTGGGGAAGCTTAGTTTGAGAACTAGATCTGAGGACTCCTTGGATGAAGATGAATTGGATTTGGTAGAATTGGCGAGTTTCAATGTTGAATTGAGCTTCTTCAATTGTGAAGTGGAATTGAGCTTCTTGAGCAGGGATGTTGAATTGAGTTTCTTCAACTCAGACTTGGAAAGGGTGGAAAGTGTTGATGCTTTTGTTGAATTGGTGGGTTTGGTGAGCTTGGTTTGGTTTTTCTTTGACAAATTTGATTTGATGAACTTGGTAGTGGATTCCTTTGGCTTGAGAAGCTTGGTCAGGTTCTTGCTGGGTAAACTAGAACTCTCTTTCTTTGGCTGCTCTATCACTTCTTCTTCCTCCTCCAATTCTAGCAACCTTCTTCTGCCTACAAACTGTTTGCTTTTATGCCCCTCTGGCTCTGTGGAGGCAAGAAGCTATATAGAAGATGTGAAAAGAAACAAAACAAGATAAAGCAGAAGTACCTTCCTGAAACTGACGTACATGAGTGAAACCATTTGAGAAGATCTATTGGAGGGGTTTAGAGAACTCAGATTGGATCTAAAGTTTCTGGAAAAGAGATGTTGAGAGAGAGAGAGAGTTGAAGAGAAAGTAGGAGAGGGAATTACATAGTTATGTCATGTGTGCAATAATATATCAAGGACATGAGTGAAGACTTTAATGCAGTCATCAATGACATGGTCTAGTATAGTGTGTTTTTTACTATGAACACGGTTTCGCAGTGCCTCACTCTCTAAGGAAATTAGCTGTTGGTGCTAATTACTAGCATGAGAGGGAAGGTGCCACTAGCATATAATTAATCCCTTGACTTGCCAATTTGTCATTAGATTAATGTCTTTAGGCATGGTGTTGAAATTATTCGTCACGAGACAACACAAGTTTTGCGAGTATAGAACATTTTATTAACCCAGTTTAAATGAAAAATATTGGTAAAAAGAAGAAATTCTGCTGTTACCACGTGACATGTTTTTCAATTCTCATGATACAACAAATTTTTTTCTTTTTTTCAACTTTGTATGATCATCAGCAGAAGAAGAGTAGAAGTGATTTTGAAAAACTTCCTATGCCAAAATTGTTTGAAAAATGTCATGCATACATTGCCAACTGGCATTCCAACAGGAAGGGAAAAAAAATTAAACAATGACAACGACGATTGAATTCTTTATAAACCAAGATTCCAAATTCTTGTACTGGAAGCATGCATATGGTGCCGGTTCTTATAAGTGTTTTATTTGTAATTAAAAATATTGTATTGTATCGATGACTAAAATAATTCAGTAGTTATTTTTATTGTTAAAAATAAGATATTTTGAATTTGAGTTGCATGATATATGGGTATAATAGAATAAATAATAAAAAATAATTATTTTTTATTATGCAACTAAAATAAATAAATATATTATATTATGTTATATCTAATATAAATTATGTTATTTTTAATTATTGATAATAAAAAATAAATCTCTAACATTAAAGATTTCACTCCTTTAATCAATAATTTAACTAAGTGCAACTTATATTTTGTTCATAATTTGTTCTTAAAATGTGGCAATTACCTGGGGATACTTAAGACTTAAAAGTCACTAAAAGTGAAGCTTCGTCCATTCGGCCAACAGGCCAAACCACCAGCTGCAAATAATGATCTTATTAGAATTACCAGCATAAGAAATAAAATAAAATAAAAATATTTTACAATTCAAACACACAAAAAGCATTAATCCTTTATTAAATGCTGACATGCTAGGTGTAACTAAGGCTGGGGCCATTGGACTTCTACAGTGATTGATTCACTGCCCATTGTACTAAAATTAAAAAAAAAAAACATTAATCCTTCATTGAATGCTTATATGACTTCTACAGTGATTGATTCACCGTCCATTGTATTAAAAAAAAGGCTACCTATTAATAATGGAGATTCCTCATTCAATAATCAATGTTTTTACATTCTAATAACACAGATTTTGAATTGGCAAAAGGTGCAGATCACCCCCTAAACTCACCAACTGGTGGCAAATCACCCCCTCAACCCCAATTGGTGGCAAATCAACCCCTCAACTCACCAACTGGTGGCAAATCAGCCCCTCTCTTAACC